CCCAGCAGAATTTAGTTCCAGCCCTGCTTCAACACACTACCTTTAGATTTAGTTTGATCAGGTGTGTTTAATTAGTATAACTGCACTGTTACTCTGTAGATTGTGCAGTAAATAACTGTGATAACAATGATTTAGGCATCACCACTCACTCCCACAGGCTGTCTGTCTTATTCTAAACACAAAGGTGTTACAAAGAGTTTTCAGAAAATGCTGGCCCTTTAAGGGAGCCAGGTGTTTGATTTGTTTACTGCTGAGTGTGCTCTATTCTCTGTCCATCAATTCAGATGTAGAGTCTGATATGTTTTAGGCTTTAAATAAGAATCTACAATGAGTAAGTAAAATGTGTTCAAATGTTTTTGAGGGTTTCTAAAATAAGTAATAAATAAATATATCTTGAACTGTGTACTTGAAAGCTATATTGTTAGCTAGTTAACCTCTCCTCATATAACTTCTTACATTACTTCTGTTTAAGTATATGCATTTATTGGATATTGCATACTGCCATAATGTACAGATGCTAACAGTTGTATGTATCTTTCTGGCAACTAAGCCAAAATTAAATTCCATCATCTCAGTAAGGTAACATGTGCACATCATCACAGGGAATCACAAAAACATGATACACATAGCCATCCACACACAAAAGCTCCACTGTCCGGTCCCAGGTTATGAGTTTGTTGCTAAGTATTTTTCAGAGCAGTGTTTCCACCTATGAATTTATATTAGAAACAATAAAAAAGTTTGTTGTCATGAGATAATTATAACAATAAAAGATTGGATCCTTTGTTTTTTTGGTGTTGCCAACTTTATTTTTATTTTTTATAATTATTTTAAACTTTTTATTAAGATTTGACACAGTTTTTAATTATTTAAAACTTTAAAATTTAAAATAATTATGTTGTGTTTCATTTGCTATCCATATCAAACACACCTAAACCAATTAATTAGGACCTGAACACCACTTGATAATTACAGGCAGGTGTGTTTTATATGGCTAGCAACTGAAATCAGCAGGAAGGTAGATATCCAGGAACAGGATTGAGCACCCCTGCTATATACCGTGGGGGTCAAACTCCAAGTTCCTGAAGAACTGCAGCACAGCAGAGTTTAGTACCCACCCTGCTTCAACATTACCTGTAGATTTCTAACAAGCCATAATTAGTTTGATCAGGTGTGTTTAATTAGAGTTACAGCTTAAAGTCCCGGTCACACTGCACTTTTCTGCCTACAGACTTCTATTCATACGCATGTGAGTACTGCAGACCTGGAATGATCGCTCATGCGACAAATTTCATAATTCGCAGCATTGAAAAGTTCAATCTTGGAGAACGCTGACATGCGAAATCACATCATGTGATTGCTTGATACCAATCAAAGATCAAAACATGACCTCTCTGGCTTGCTTTTTCAATCTCTAATTATTTTGTTTAATTCCACTACTCACTTTGTTTAATTCCACTTCGTAGTGCAGTATGACAGAATTTTGCATGCTCAAAGGTTAATGTGACACTGTTGCCAGTTACTTACTGTAACCGAACTTTTACAGTGAGTGGCTGGCAAGAGTGTTGCCAGTATTCTACTGTAAAAAAAACCCGGTAAGGTCTAACAGTGTAGCTCCAACCAACTGGAAAAAGTTGAAAATGGGAGCCCATTTGGGGAACCGCAAATAAATGGGAAAAAAGGTAAAACAAAAATTAAATTTGCCTGATATTTTTTTCTCTAATGTTTGTACAGATATTTTTATTAACTACAATATCCATGGTATGTAAAATCTAATACCATGACAACCCTTTTCTTTCAGGAAAGGACATAATAATGAATAAATTATCTTAGTGAAGTTGATTTAGGGACGAGCAGTAAATTAGTTTGCATCACTTTACTTGAAGACGGTGTTCATAAGATTTTAACATGTCATGAAACAATAATGACGATTTATAAGACAATTTACGACACCTTTATAATCATGACATAACGTCATGAATATGAAGAAGATTTTATAAATCATTGTAGTATGACAGCTGTCATTCAGTGTAAGTCTCTCAATGATCTATTTTTATATGCTAAAATTAAAGACGTCTGTCATGACATTGAGGTTTTATTATGATTTGATGGTTAACAGTTTAAAAAGCAGCAAACAGCTTCAGCAAGATGAGTACAAAAGATTTGAAAGCTGCTTTAGCCTGCCTCGGGGCTTTAACAACCAAGTTTTTTTTTTTTTTTTGAATGTTATAATGTAGGCTTTTCTTTTTACTGTTACAGTAAAGAGATTGGTGAGAGGTGACTCACCAGTTAATTTACTACGTTTACAATTTTTTTTTTTTCTATCTTTTTTTTTTTAACAGAGAGGGAGCACACAATCAAAATGTGTTTCTCATTAAACTCCCTAGTTTCCTCAACAAACCTAATCATTTACGAGACTCAAAAAACTTTCTCAGAGAGTTTATCAAAAAAAAATTGAGTGTTAATTTATGCACCAAATATTTTAAAGATCCCACCAGTATAACTTCCTCCACATTAACTGTCAAAGGTTCACAGAGTGCTCTCACACTGTTAATCCCACAAGACTTTTCATAGGGTTAACTAATATTACGTTGCAAACAACTCAATTGTCCAAACTGTAATAGATCAACAAAACTGAAATAATGATCTAATCACTGAATATTACTGAGTTTAGAATGAGTTTTTTTAAGTAGTAGAGGAGTTATTTGAGTACTAAAGTGAAACCAAACTAAACAGAAATATTGGTATTGGAAAATAAGTTGGATGTCATTGCCTGAAACCGATATGGTGAGAACTAACACTACATGTTGGCTTATAGACTGCCATTAGGGCTGAACAATAAATCACATGCGATTTGTTGTGCACATTTGTCTATAAAGCAGTCTCTGTTATCACATGTGAATCCAGCACGTCTGTTCAGCTGGAGCAGCATTTACTAAACAGAGCCTACTTTCTTTGCCAACTGTCTTAGCCAAGCTATGCAAAATATTGTGTGTTGTTCCCTGCTGAAAAATCAAGCTTAAACCAGCCTAGGCTGGCTGGCTGGTTTTAGCTGGTTGACCAGCCTGGTTTTAGAGGGGTTTTGGCCACTTCCAAGCTGCATTACATTTCCAGCCATTTCCAGCCTGGTCTTAGCTGGACCAGGCTGAAAAATGACCAGCTAAATCCAGCTAAAACCAGCTTGACCAGCCTGGTTTAGGCTGGACATAGCTGGTTTTGGCTGGGCTCCACTCCTGGCTAGGCTGGTCAAGCTGGTTTTAGCCAGTCATCTCCCAGCCTGACCAGCTAAGACCAGGCTGAAAATGGCTGGAAACCAGCCTGAAAGTAGCCAAAACCCCTCTAAAACCAGCCTGATCAACCAGCTAAAACCAACCAAAGCTGTTTTTTTAGTAGGGTTGTGCTTGTTAATTTCATTAAATCAAATTAAAGCAGTGTATTCTTCCTGTTTTTCCTATACAAACACTATAATGATTTACCATAGAATAGTATTTCCCTGGCTTCTTCTGGGCTTGGTTGCTTGTTCTATGCCCTCAGGCTTTCACAGGGGGGATTTACTGCTAATCACACCAACATACATTCCTTACATTTTCAATACAATCACAGCTTTTGAAAGTTATTTTAGTCAATTAATTGTTAAGTCCTAACTTTCGTGTCATATGTTTACCTGCTGTCAGGTAAAGACATATCTATTTCATTACAAACTAATTGATTCACACATACTTGCCCCGCTTTATGCTTAAGCTATCATCAATGTAAAGCAGTGACAACAGTTTAAGGTCCTGTGTTCCTTGTCTTTGTCATGTGATCATCTTGTTTTCATCCTGTCACCCCTTTGTTCCAGTTCCCACCAGTTGTTAATGCTCATTATTTCTACCTGTGTCTGACCCCTGTGTGTAATTAGTTTAATAATCTCCTTTGTATTTAAGTCCCCGTGTTCAGTTAGTTCCAGGTTCGCTATTCTCAGTTGTGCTTTGTCTTCAACCCATGTTGTTCCTGTGTCTCCTGTGTTTTCGATGTCCTTCCAAGTGAGTGTTTGTAAATAAATCTTTGTGTTTGATAAATCCTGCAAACCTTTTGCCTTCCTGAGTGAGTCAAGGTGTTACAAACAGTGCTTCTTAATCCTAGTTCACACTACAGGACTAAACATTGGCAGATTGCTGTGTTGTTGAAGCTACATGACTAAATTTTCTGTCTTTAAATTGCTATGGTATTTCATACTACAACGGAATGGATGGATTCACCAGAGTGGGTCACACACTACATGAAATGACAACAACTCTGCATCAACAGAGCACTTAAAGCACTGATCAGTGTCGGAGCACTGATCACCCACTGATTGACAAAGCTCATTAAGGGCAAACTCACACTATGTACAGTTGCCTTGAACCAGGCAAAAGCATGCTTGTCCCCCCCTCCTGTTTCCCCCGACGGCCCACACTCGCATTACATTTGGGCCTGGGCATGCTTTCGTCATCGATGATGCGCTGTTCAGTAAGGGCTTTCGCTCAGCACAGTGGAGATTTCTTTATCAGATATCGTTTCACGTCTCAAGTCACGTCTCACTTTCAGTTTCGGGCTCTGGCGCGTTTTGAATTCACACACAGGTGTATCGCGCAAAAGCCCAAGTGAACCATGCTCTGGCACACCTTTTTCAACTGGGCCAGGGCCGGCCAAGTGAACCGTGCCTGAGGCCAATTCAGAGTACTCGCACTTCTTAAACGATCTGGGAAACAAGCCACGGTTCGGATAGCATAGTGTGAGTTCGCCCTAACTAGTAAACCAGGCTTAAAATCCTTTAGTTAGAACTAGGCATTAGGAAATCAATAGCTTTAAGAATCGAGAATTTTGAGGATCTATGTTTTGTATCAATAGTGTAGTATCATCAATGAACATGGATTTGTTTTAATATTCATTTCATATTGACTTTATTTCAGTTTGCAGATCACATTATTGTTTAAATGATGTAATATATTTGGAATTTGCATTTGTTTTTTTGTCAGATTTCATTTCTGGTCAGTCAGCAAGGACTGATGGAGGTTCATCAGATACACAGAGAACAAGAAGAGACAGAACTGGACCACAATTGTTGAACAATGGGCTGTCTATTGGCACGCTCCCTGACAACACAACACAAGTGGTGGTAAGTTAACTACTTTATTTTTCTAACTTTTGGATCCCTATTTCTTTTCAATTTTGAGTAGTTTTAAAGGGCAAAATCAACTTTTGGAAGCTATTTTTACGGAGCTGTGTTGGTATTTTGTGTCCACAGACATATTGAAGTAACAAAAAAAAAAGTCTTGTTTTTTAATTTTCTGATGTTAAAATAGAAACGTCCACTGCAACATGACGTAGGAATGTCGTTTCTCCTGTCCACTGAATTAATTGACAGCTTTATTAGCTTTTATTGGAGCTTGATTTAGCTCCACAACAAATAACCATTGGGAAAGTTCTTACTGTAGTATTTCTCATAAACAAAAGATCAGCTTCCATCGTGTCTGTCACTGTGCTGATTTTCTGATATAACATACAGCAGGAGGAGACAACATTAGACCAATAGAGAAAGAGTTCTCTATGGCTTTGACATGCATGTGGGAACAGTAGGCGTGGAGAACCAGCTCAATTGCATTAAAGGCACAGGCAACAAATGTCTACAGTGCCTTTAGAGCTCAAAATGTATAATAAATAATCTGTTGGTATTTTGAGCTGAACCTTTACAGACACAGTCTGGAGACACCAAATACCTATCTTAAGTCTTGAAAAAAGGGATAAAATAGGTGCGCTTCAATATCAAATTCATTCTTTAATCATTTGCTCTCATTCATACATGTTTCTAATGTGGTACAGACATAGCAAAAGGTCATGGACAGGCAGATAACAATCTTAAACAAAGAACAGGTGAATCGTCAAGGCAAGCAGCAAAGGTGTACAAGGTCATAAACAGGCCAAGGGCTGGCAGCAAGCAGAGTATCAGTAATAGACTGAAGAAACACTCAAAAATGTTTACCACTGCACTGGCAGCAGCTACCTCTTTTCAACTCTCACATGGTAACCCACTGAAGCTAAGCAGGGCTGCGCCTGGTCAGTATCTAGATGGAAGAACACATGGGAAAGCTAGGTTGCTGCTGAAAGTGGTCTTAATGAAGCCAGTAGAGGGTGCTCATCCTGTGATCTGTGTGGGTCCCCCCACAGATCCCCCAGTATAATGATGGGGACTCTATACTGCTCTGTGAGTGCTGTCCTTTAGATGAGACTTTTAGAGGTTCTGACTCTCTGTGGTCATGAATAATTCCAGGATGTCCTTTGAAAAAGAATAGGGGTTAAACTGTGGCATCCTGGCCACATTTGCCCACTATTTATCATGGCCTTCTAACCATCCCCATATTATAATTGGCTTCATCACTCTGTCTCCTCCCCACCAATCAGCTGGTGTGTGGTGTGCGGTCTGGCGCAATATGGCTGCCGATGCGTGATCCAAGTGGATGCTGCACTCTAATGGTGGATAAGGAGATTCCCCCCAAGGTGTAAAGCACTTTTCTAGACACTGAAAGTGCTATATAAATGTAAGGAATTATTATTATTATTTTTACTACCATGGGCAGAACAAAACTTTCCAATGAATGTTTGTGTGATGCGTTTAAGTAGTGTGTGAATGATGATTAGTAGCAGGTGCATGTGTAGTCACAGCTAAAAGGCATGATACAATAAATAGTTCCAAATGTTGTCTGTTGAAACTCAGGCGATAGCTCCCTCTGGTGTTGCAAAGACTGCCGAGCAGGAGTCTCATTCATAACGCATAGCATCACATGCTGACACCAAGAAATGGTATGTTTTTGTCAGGGTTCTGTCAGGGTAAAAATCAGGAGAGGAATCATGTGCAGGTAACAATTTATTTTTCTTCTGTGGCATGCAGAGGGGATAGAATATAAAACTCAGCACAGAGATCTGTGAACACCGAAGAAAGACACAAAAAATCCTAGCAAAAAATTTAATAAAATACTTAAGTCCAGGCGACGCAGTGGCGCAGTAGGTAGCACGTTCGCCTCACAGCAAGAAGGTCGCTGGTTTGAGCCTCGGCTCAGTTGGCGTTTCTGTGTGGAGTTTGCATGTTCTCCCTGCATTCGCGTGGGTTTCCTCCGGGTGCTCCGGTTTCCCCCACAGTCCAAAGACATGCAGTACAGGTGAATTGGGTAGGCCAAATTGTCAGTAGTGTATGAGTGTGTGTGAATGAGTGTGTGTGGATGTTTCCCAGAGATGGGTTGCGGCTGGAAGGGCATCCGCTGCGTAAAAACTTGCTGGATAAGTTGGTGGTTCATTCCGCTGTGGCGACCCCAGATTAATAAATGGACTAAGCCGACAAGAAAATGAATGAATGACTTAAGTCCAACAGAGGGCGCATGGCAATCCAAAAATCGCCAGTCAATAATGGGCCAAGAAAAATAAACTAATAAATAAAAAGCAATACTTTAGCGGAGTCTAAACAGTACCGAGACTGGACAGGACAAGATCTGATAGACCACAGCGTAAGGCAGTGGTGTCTAACTCATTTCAGCTCAGGGGCCACATGGAGGAAAATCAATTCTCAAGTGGGCCGGACTGGTAAAATTATGGTATATATATATATATATATATATATATATATAAAATCAAATCACTTTTATTGTCACATCATCAGCAGCACGTGTGAAAAGTTTAGGTGCTGGCTCCAGACAGGGCAAAATACAGACAGTGCAAATACAACGACAGTGCAAATACAACGACAGTGCAAAATAAAAATAAAAAAAGAGAAAAAAAAAAGGACAATGTAAAATTGACAGCGATATGTACAATGAATAGGTGTCCACATAGTTTTAGGCAGTATTGTTTCAAGTATGGATTGGTTAAAGTGCAGTGCATACTACATATTGATGGTGTGCAGTGAAGGGTATGGAAGAGTCTGTGTAGGGTGTGTTAAGTGTTCATCAGCCTGATAGGCTAAGGGAAGAAACTTTTCTTCAGCCGGCTAGTGTAGATGGTGTAGATGTCTTGGAGGGAGGGAAGCTGGCCTTCTACCATGCGTCCAGCAGTTTGCACAATCCTATGTAGGCCTTTGCGATTGCTGCTGGTGCTATTTCTATACCAGGTGGTGATACAGCCAGACAGGATGCTCTCCACACTGCACTTGTAGAACGAGCGGAGGATGTGGGGGGTCATTCCAAACCTCCTGAGATGCCTGAGGAAGAAGAGGCGTTGTGCCTTCCTAAGCACTACGTCTGTGTGAGCAATCCATGTCAAATCCTCAGCGATGTGGACTCCGAGACACTTGAAACTGCTGACTCTCTCTACTGGGGGTATTCTAGAATGCAGGTTATGTGACATACCCGGGTAAGTTTGAGAGTAAGTAAGTGGATAACCTCAGCTTTCGGTTCCAAAAACGGAGGTAACTTTGTGGGTATGTATGTAACCATAGCAACTCACTCTCTGAAGATAACCTGCTCGGTAGCAGGTTATGTTCCAGTGTAAGTTTGTGTCAGAAGGTAAGCGAGCATGGCGTGCCCTTTTGATGAGGATCCTGTGGACGTAGAAGCTCAAATTATACAAGGTTTTTTTCGCCGGGAGAGAGTTATAAGACCACGTATTGATGTGTTTTCATACCCTAATGATTATTTAAAGGAGCGTTATCGTTTTTCAAAAGAGTCGTTAGTTTATTTAACACGTCTTTTAAAACCGCATATTGCAAACATCACAAACTGTGGTTCTGCTCTTAGCACAGAAAGCATTCTGTCCATAGCACTAAGGTTTTTTGCGTCTGGCCATTTTTTGTATAATGTAGGTGATGCAGAGCATGTGGGAAAGGCAACTGTTTGTAGAGCCGTTCGTACGGTATGTCTGGCCCTTAAGCACCTCTTACCCACATTTGTACAGTTCCCTGGCCACAAGCCTCTGCGTGTTATTAAGAACGAATTCCACAGAGTGGCAGGTTTGTTTTTTGAAGGAAAATCTATTACGCATATTTAATATGCAGTCTTATTAGTTATATCTATACATGTTTTCTTTATGCAAACTTAATACTTCCATAACTTTGTTTCAGGGTTTCCGAATGTAATTGGGTGTGTTGATGGCACCCACATTCCTATTAAAGCCCCTTCAATAAATGAGGGGGACTATGTTAATAGGAAATCTACTCATAGTATCAATGTGCAGGTAACAATTTCTGTGTGTCCTTAATTTTTTTGCCTTGTTAAAATCATTAAACTGTAATATTGCTTTTTTTTCCACCAACTAGGTAATATGTGAAGCAACCCAAATAATTATCAACGTCGAGGCAAAATGGCCAGTGGCGTAGCGGATGGGCTTGCAGGGCACGCACCGCGGGGGGGCCCCGCGTCGTCGTGATTTTCAATAATTGAAAATCAACAGGCAACCGCAATAATCAAACTCTTGGGAACAACTGTGAAGTTCACAGGTCTGTGTTCTCTGAACACCTCTCAAGCGGTGGACTACTGCATTCTGATTGCTTGCCGCCAATGTTGCCAACTTAGCGACTTTGTCACTAGATTTAGCGACTTTTCAGACCCCCCTAACGACAAATCTAGCGACTTTTTTGTGTGTTATTGGAGATTTTTTTAGACTGTCATTTGTCCATACTGTACCGTCCCTACTCTTCTCAACGAGCTGCGTGTGATGCCGCCGACCCCTCCCCCGCCTCACAGCACTGACAGGCGGCCCAGTCAGTCCGCGTACAGCAGCCTCTCCCACCTAGAGCCCGAGAGCAGATCACCCCTCTGCGTACCGACGACAAATGATTTAGCACAGGCAGTGTGAAGGTATTTCCCTTGTACAGTCAAACCAATCTTCTTCTACTTCATTTTAACAATTTAATTGGACCGTTTATTCTTTTCTTGTTCACAATCACAGATATTTTAGTGACAGTTTCTGAATTTGTCTGAGTTTATTACATATGAGAGATTACTGCACATTCACTACACATCTATAATGACATACTGTATTCAAACAGCAATAAATTTAGTTAAATAAACATGCTTATATAAAGTGTAGTGCAATTATAAATACCCCTTTATTAACCATAGGCTGTAAAACAAACAGAAACGGTAAAACGTGATGACCTCAGTGATATGCAAATTGGCGTATGACGTATCTCCC